AATATCTATTTGATTTTAGTGTATTTTTTTAATTTCATAATCAGTTTTCAAACTTAAAAAAAAATTGCAATGATGCAACTCATGCATGTACTTTTTCTTTTACATTAAAATACTTTTTTATATTTCTGCACTGGTTACTGAAATAAAATTAAAGTTTTTTAGATTTAACTTTTGATGTTAACAAGTACCTTATTTTCTGGCTTGCAAGATGCTGTGGCTTGGAAGATGCACCCTAATATTGGAAAGATATTTCTAAGAAAAAAAAGTTATTCTCATACAACAACACATTCACCATGTGTCTCTCACATACTGATGCCATGTATTGTTTACATTAACCTCTCATCCGATTTTGTTTGTATGGCAATAACATACTAGTCAAGAGCAGAAAGGCTCCTGCTACTGCTAGTAAACAGAGCATATTTAAGCTTGTGGCTTGGCTCCAGGAAGGTTTATAGTCTTGGAAATACTTGTAACAGCTAAGTATTGAGATTACATAATATAAAAGGCTGAATTAGATAGCTAACATTATAGTGTAATGACTCAACATACAAATCCACGCCCATATCATTCAAGCCAATTAGGTGACTGTTCAAGCTTACTTGAGTCTGGCCATTGCCTTACATTCATCTTAGAAGGTGCACATATATTTTTCAGGAAAAAAGTGAATCTTGTAAGTCAGAAAATACGGTAAATAATTAATATTAATAGGACTAGAAGAGATGGAATATGGTGTTAGGATGGTTTATTTTTGTTTCCTCCATGGCAGTTTTAGCTTTTGTAACCATTGAACTGGAAGAGTATTAGATAATATTAATGGGCTTGTTCATTGGCTGGGGTAATATGTTCGAGGATTGAATAAAAAGTTGGCACTTTTTATGGGTGACAGTTTTTCAGTTCATACAATCTTTAATTTTACACAAATCTTAAACAATTTGAAATCAAATTTTATAATCTCTCACATCACATTTATATTCACATCACTTTAACCTTTCTAGATAGGTTCATCTATTGTCTGGTTCACACTCCTTATCCATCTATTGAACAGGAGTAGATGTTTATCCTTTCTTTGCTGTTTAGGATTGGTTTTCCAGTTCCTTATAAAGCCTTCCCATTCTCTGTCATCCATTTGTCTTAGTAGATAATAAAGAGATTCATGATTATTATTATAAATATTTATTAAGCTTAATCTGGCATAAGAATAAATTGAGGAGAATTTAGAAATATCTTTTTTTAAAAAAAGTTGTTATATTTAGTTTATGAAATTTGTATGAAAATGTAATAGAATATTATGGGACAGAAGCAATACCAGTCACATAATATTTGAAGAAGAAATGGTCCATGCCTTTTCCAAGGGCATTTGTGTGAAAGTGAATGCAACAATAAGCAAGAATTTGAACTTACTGATTCCACTTTTGGCACTGATAACTGTTATGCTATCTCTACATTGGTTGCTGCTTATGAAATGCAGGACTTGTGAGCTTTATATTGAAAATACTGATCATAATTTTTTTCATTATGATTCATTCTACTAAAAATGTAGTTTGTTATTATGAGAAATTTTTGACTAGTATTTACTTTCCTTTTTTGCTTATTGCAACTTTCACTCAAGCTGCTAATCTATGACAGTGAGTAGACGGTATGTGGTTGGAGAAAAGTAGTAATTGATAATGAGATTAACAATTAAGAGGTTCATTTTTGTCTTAAGCAACCCTAGTTGGATGGAGCAGAACAAATCTAACCTATGAATTCATCTCTTCATTCCACAATCTCTCTCAGTGTTTTTGTATTTTATATTATTTTTATTTTTATTAGATGAATAATAATCAACCATTATTAATTTTTTTTTTAACTTGTGATTACTATCATTTTAAAGTTTTAGTTGCTTTTTATTGCAGTTTTTACTTAAGCTATCAATCTACAGTCATGAGTTAACAGCGTAGAATTAGAAATATTTTTGGGTGGGGAAATAGGGATTGTGCTATGTTAAAATATTTACTTGACTTTGAAATCCTAACTTTATCTGGTCTTGAACACTGACACCTTGGCTACAGTGACCAATATAGAATTATATTGGTCACAAGGCACTCCTATGTTCGGATAAGACATCTTTCCTTTATACATTTCTATTTTATTCACACATACATGTGATAGCGAACAGTTTTTGAATGCTAACTAAAAACATCAAGAAACAAATTGGTGGTATTATTAAATAATGAATAACTTTAGGGGATTTTTCACTGTCAAATATTTCACTTCATAAATCCTGTCTAAATTCCTGAGAAAAACAACTATCATTATTATACACAAATTTTATTGGGACTGGTCTTCTCATCTTCATACAGCCGCTTTCTTAGTTCAATGATTAAAAATGACTTGGAGCAAATGAAAGCTGTATTGTCTTGGTGAGGACCAGTCTTTTTCAAGTCTTATGGACAGGTGCTACAGAATCACAAACTAAGATCTGTATCAAATAACAGAAATGACATCATTTGAGGACTTTCAAGAGCAACAACAACTAAAATGGACAGCAAATGTAACTCAAAGAGATAATAATGTCATAATCAAGATGTTGATGTTCCACACTACCAGGAAAATCCGATCAATACTAGAAAATGGACTAGAGAATCCTATTTTCCTGAAAAATTGCTTTGCAAGTAAGATTTTATAAATTTCAATCAACAATTGCACTAGCTGTTCAATCAGTGAATGCCAAACATCTCTATAACGCTAATATTACCATTGTTCTAGTCACAATATTTTATTCTTGTTCCCTTTGGACATCTTTCTGAATATGATACCGAAATGCTGTGACTGTAACAATCAGGATAAAAACATCAGATTGAATAAAACAGAATATATTTTGCTTTGTTATGGAACTATTCAAGTTCCATTGTCTCATTTATTCTCTTTATTTTTAACGTGGTGGTGGTGGTGGTGGGGGGTTTCTTGTCTTTAGGTCATGTTTGAAATTTTTTTTGCTGCAACTGTATATTAGATGAAAGTTGGTTTTCATGATCTATGAAGGGGTGCTGAAAAATTCTCAGTCTTTTTGGAAAAGCTTCCTCATCAATAACTTTTCAACATTCCCATCTTATATTTTGGAATGTAAAATTATATACATACATACATACAGTGTGCGATGGATAAATTGTCTAAATTACGCAAAAATGGAAATAATACTGACATCTCATTTTAATAGATATATTTACCAAAATTACACAAAAACTATCTTGAAATACTAAAGAGTAAATTTATTCAATAAAATCACCATTGGCTTCAACCATGGCCTCCAGATGACTTTGGAATCTCCTGCAACTCTTCTGGACAGTCTCCTTGCTTAAGTCCTGCCATAATCCTTGCCTTCAGTTTATCTTTGGTATTACAAGGAGTTTTGTTGGTCTCTCGCTCAACTGTGACCTACATATAATAATCAAGGGAAGTCTGGGGAGTTAGGTGGCCAGATGTAAGCACTGATGTGGTTGCAGAAATTGTCGGACAGACATGATTGAATTCTCCTGCTTGTGTGGCATGGTGCAGTGTCTTGTTGCCAGACATAGGGTCCTTCAGCAGCCACCCACTTAACACTGGACAGCACTACTTTCTCAAGGCACTTGATGTAGGCCTCCATGTTGAGTGTGAGGCCCTCACTAACAAATTCAGGAGTTCTTATCAGAACAATCAGAGTGAATTTTCCAAGCCGCTGTACCTAAGTAATCACTATTAGACTTATCCAACTCTTTCTGAATCCTCTGCACTGTCCTCAGATTGACACCCAAACACTCTGGAATGTTTATATTGGAGCTTCTGGTGCAAATGCCAAGCAGTACAGCATGCAGTTTCCAAATTTCTGGTGGAGTGAATTGTGTCATGGTGCTCTTTTTTCCACAGATTGGGGCCCAACTGTCCCTACTATACTGTGCAGTCGACAAAATCAAAAACAATATACATGTGCAAAATATATGTATATAATTGTTGTATAAAAGTAAATATCATTGCTGACACTGTGGTTTGAAACTAGATCACCAGTGTGTAACACAAGCGATTACATTATTAAGTAGATCACATGATCATAAAGGAAGTGAATAAATAGGAAGTAGTGTGATGACTATACGATCACTGTTCACTCTTCTTGTCTATCCACTATTGCTATACATTCACTTTCACTACTCTACTACTATATGGATTATGATTCTCTTCTGATCATTATACTATTTGGTGATTACTACTTGAACAAGTATTACTAGTGTGGATATTATTGGAAGGCATTATTACTAGTACCAGTGTCTATGAAGTCTTGAATATAATAAGCATTTTTGGAAGTGATAACGAGCTTTCGCTTGACATAGTAAAGTGACAACCAAAGCCATCCAACATCACAAAATTAACAAAAATATGTAAAAAATTGATTTGTCTTTTACTTTTGCTTATTTCTGAATTGTAGTTTTAACCATTTTGGGACAAATTTTAATTCTGTCTTTTGTTTTCTTTTTTTCCAGAGAGATAATACAGAAGGTTGTTTCAGATGTGAGTGGTATCTGCACATATTATAGATATGTTAACCTCTGGTGGTAAGTTGGACAAATATCCCTCCAGAAACTGATACAAAGTCAGAGGGGAAAAATAACCTGGGGGGGAAAAAAAAAGGTGAATTTAAAAAAAAGAAAGAAAGAATTATTAAATAAAGAAGCAAGAAAAGAGGAGTCACTCCTGCTAACAAATATATAAACCAAAATGCTTTAAATGGAACTCTTTTAATACAAAATTAGAAAGAGCCTCAAAATGAATGTACTGTGTATTATAGCCCATTGCACACGTCCGTGTTCACTGCTACAAGGAGAAATTGTGGCTGCTGCCCTGTTGGGTCTGAAAACCATTGCAATGAGGTTGCCCTCCTGCTCTGCTGTTCTTGGCTACTCCACTCTGTCCACCAAGATGATCACCACCACCACCACATCTGACACCTGGACTTTTAGCCTGTGAGCGTGACCAACTGCTCAACCATGGACAGTGACATTCCTGTCGCTGTCAATGATCAACAGTCTCTCACTGTCGGGGTTCCTTGGAAGTTAATGGAGCCACAAGGATTGGTCGAAATAATCTCCACTGGACTTGAAAAGGTATGTAATTTTTTTTTTTTTTTTCTCAAATTTTATTTTATTTTTTTATTTTTTTTTAATAATAGGTATTTCACAATTTTCTTTTAAATTATGTCTTTTATTTAAGATTTTATTTAATTTCTATTTTATTTTTGAAGTTTTATTTTATTTAAAATTTTTTATTTTAAGTTCATTTTTTTTATTTTATTTATTTATATTTTTAAGGTTAAAATTATTTTGGAGGGGTTTAGATATGTTTTCATGTATTAGTATTAAAAATTATTTCTTTTAGACTTACACTTGAATGAAAGTTGGAAAAAATAGTATCAGAATACAACAGCTGGTTGGCCAGCTGTTGTATTCTAGTACACTTGCATATCTTTTAGTCTACCAAACTGGTGTGTCTACTTACATTTATATCTTGGTCAGCCTATAAACTTTCCAGCACACCCTTATAGATGGCAAGGACACTATCATTGGCAAATCGCTCAATAAACTCTGTGTAAAAGATATCATTTTATATATGTTGGGTGAAGATTTTATGGCAGGAGTGGACTTGCAAGCCTGTTAAATTTAACATTAATAAATGTAATCATTAATTTTGAAACTTCACAATTTTTGTGAATAATTTTTTTTTTTTTTTTGTTTTTTGTTTTTTTTTAGAATATAGATTAGAAGAATATTCACAATATTATTTAATTCTAAGCTAAACTATACTGTTGTGAAAAAAATGTTTTGACTAAACTAGGTACCACCACTAATTTGGTGTATGTAAGATTTAAAGAGTTTTTAAAAATGAAACAGCTTTCTTGAAGCTTTCATTTTAGCTTTAATTGAAAGCTAAAGTATTTTTAAATTTACTATTTCCAGTACACAAAATACTCCATGGTGTATTTCAAACAGAAATTCTATTGATTAGAATCAATTATTTTTATTTATTTTTTTTTTTCATTTTCATTAAAATCAATTTTTGACACCTTTGTAAAGAAAAGTTAGTTTAAAAAAAAAATTAGTACAATTGCTGACACAAGAAAAACAAGATTTTAATCAAAATTTTGAATGTGTTGAGTCAAGTGTAAGTTTCCATCTCAAGAGTTAGGAGTCGAATGACCAAAAATCAGTTATTTGTGCATGGTCTCTGAGTGAATTCCAGTAGTGTTGAAAATATTCAAAATTATTAATTGACCACTGACAAGATTGCCCTCGCATTTTTGAGGGACATTTTTGTTAGACAGTACATGCTTATTGGAAACAGACCATAAAGCACACAAGGACAGTTGGCAAATGGATTATGCATTGTCAACACAACTGATTTACTAATCTACTGAAATATTTCACTCTTCTCTGATGTAGATTCAACAATGAATCCAAGGTATGAACTTTCCCTCTTTCCAGGGGTTTCTTAGTATGTGTTTTCTCTTGGTTATTTTTCCATCTTCATGAATTTAATTAACTCACCTCAATGTGTGTCTTTGTATTTCCATTTTCAGGTGATTATTTAAACACACCTAAATGTGTGTACATAACTTTCACCTTTCAAAGGGTTTTCATTAAACACACCTAAATGTACATGTTACCTTTTCCCTTTTAAATATGTGAACTTACCTTTCTTTTCAAGGGTTTTATTATATTCAACACATGATGTATTAAATACCCAAATTTCTTGAACAAATCTTTATCTTGTTTGTTTTAAATTCACTTGTTTAAATGCCTTGCTTAATCATTGTGTTGTACATTGGGACAGCATACGGAATAATTAATAATCACTGCCACTGTCTTGTATGAGTTAACCACAAAAACTAAACACTTTCTGCACCTATAAGTCAACTATCCATAACTTGCTCCTGAGAAAGTCCATCACCCCCAACAAAAAAAAAAATTAATTAAATATTCACAAAATACTTTGATCCTTTCTATTAATAATAACATAAAGGTTTTGACAATAAAATTGTCTTCATTACATTTGAAGCATGTTTTCATCATGGTATGCTGATTTTTTTTATCATTTTCGTGGTGGGACCTAGACTAAACTGTTCATCTGTACAGGTGTGCAGGGTCCAGTAATAACAAAAGGTGAAGTTGTGTTTCAAAGAATATCAATGATGTTGTCTTGCCAATGACAATATGTTGGAACTTAGACGATTGTGACGCTTACAAATATCCATAGACATTGCTGGACCAAAAATTTTACTTTTTTTGTGGCTTGGTATGATGTCAAAGAAAAAAAAAAGAAACTTTGCTTTTGTTTTATATGTCAAAGTTTTCAACTAAAATCTACTTAGAATTAACATAGTTTTGATAATTTTATGAAACTGCTTGAGATAATCTGGGATAAAATGTATTCTTATACTGTTATTGTTGAATGCAGAGATGGTTGCAAGGGCAATGGTAGAAAAAAGTGGCTAGTGTTGTAAAGCAAATAATAAAAATAAAATTGTTGTAAAAACCTAACGGTAACCATGGAATTCGTTTCTGATATGCATTAATTATAAGAAAAAATCAGTTAACGATCATTAAATTAAATCGGTTTGAGACAAACTTATAATCATTTTCTTTCTTTTTTTTATTAATATAGCCTTTTTATCTGAAGATGTGGGTTGTCTTCACAACTCTTCAACATACTAAGGTTTGATGGCTATTGTGAGAATGAATTATAGAAAGAACAGTTGGCATATTTTATTGATCATAAATTTTGATTATCTGACAAATTAACAGATATGGCATGGCTCTCAAGAATGGCATATGTAGGTGATATTTTTGCAAAATCAAATGCCAAAGATAAAATTGTAGCATTATTGTGTAAATTGCAATTCTGGATCTTTGCTGTGGAACAAAATACTTTTGTTTTGATTGTTTTCATATTCTTACTGAATTCCTTCAAGAATATGAATTAGATTTAGAGAGGCTGAAATCACTAATGAACTAAACAATCAGCTCTGCAGTTAACAATCTCTAAGGGTTTTTTCCCCAAAATTTAAAGTACAAAGATAATTATTGGGTACAAATTTATTCAAATTTAAAGACAAGCCAACAAAATTTCTAACAATGGATTATGCAAATTAAATTTAATTGAAATTAGCTTTTAACAGAGTTTCTGAAATAGTTTTGGTTTTTGAAGTTCTGGTAGCAATTTTCTGAGGCAAAACAAATGTCCACATTTACCAAATTGGGTGAATAAATTATTGCTACTGTTTATATAACAATATATAATAAATTTCTGTGAATCTGTTTTTTCTAAATATGTTAGCATCAAAATTAAAATGCTAATAGAGTGTATGTTGTACCAAATAGGTAAATTCAGTTATTAAGTATAAAACTAAATTTGCAGAGGACACCAGATGAGTCCAAGTAGTAATATACTTTGCATTATAATCTGTTTTTTTTTTTTTTCCTAAAAAATTTAAAAACAGTTCTTTTTATTTTAATTTCCTTGTGTCACATTCCACTCAATATGGGTGTGGTTAAAAATACCTAAAGCAATTTTCATTTCATTTTGTCTTGTCCTAATTATGGTGGCAACCATTGTCCTTAAAAAATGAAAATTCGTATAAAAGGGTCTCTTAAAAAAATTAAAAAAAGAACTCATTGTTAAAAGGTATTCATGAAGAAATGTAAACATTCCTAAATGTGAGATATATAAAGAGAGAGAAAAAGAGAGAACTTAGTGTTCAGGTTATGATCATTGTGGGGATATACCTTTACACCCCTAACACTTTGGAGTTGAATGGCATATTCCACATTGTTAAAAGGCAGTTTTATGTTTGGTAAATACCAACCAACAGTTATGGTTTAGAGACTGAGAGCATATTATGGTAATATCTGTTTTGCGGCCTTGACCACAACTATGGCAAGCTTTGTGCCCGATTCTATGTAAGTTTTGACCAGTGGCCCAAGAATGTGTGCTCAGGTTCCCCACATTAAATAAAATGATTTTTTTTTTTTTTTCATTCTTTTTCAATAATTTAGGTATTAGTTATCAGGAATTCTTAATTATTCCAACATATTTTCAATCCCTTTCCCAAGATATGTAGATAATATTGTAAAGAGCAGTAAGTAACCCATTTCAAAAATCTACGACATATTCACTTTTTTACAACTTTGAGACTAACGATTTCATTTTTTGCCATTAACAGTCATTGATACCCATTTTTTCACTAAGTATCCTGAGTGTAAGGCAGAAAAACACTTTGATGTTGCATCAAAAGAGTGGTTGAGAGTAAGAATAATAAAAATCACTCTTGCTTTGTTTGGGTTTGTGACTAAGACACTGGCCTCATCTTCAAGTTCAGACATTCATCACGTGTTACAACTTTTATTTCTTCTCTCTAACACTCTCACTGATTGGCCCATTCAACATTTACGGCAAGGTTAACACTAACCAGCAGCAGCTCGGGGTTTGTTTCAGTTCAATTGAAATATGTTTTCAACATGTTCTCTTATTTATGAAGTAATGAATTAAACTGAAATTTAAATATATTATTTGTAGTGTAGCTGATTTCTGTACTATTCTTACTATTTTTTGGTTTTGCTCATACTAATTTTATTAAAAAGTATCTGGTAATGTATGCATGTTTATTTTATCTTGATGCAAATTTTTTTTATCTTGACTCGAAAGAAAATACAAGCTGAGTGGTTTTCAAGTGAAGGGCATTTCACATAATCTCTTAGTAATATCTTTGGAAGTGTAGGATGAAAATAGTTTATTGCTACTAAGATGTTCTAAATAATAAAGAAAAATGGTTACTTAAATTTATTATGATTAATAATACCTAAATCCCCTTGGATTTAGACCTAAAGAAAAAAGATTTGAAAAAAAAAGTTAACAGGAAACAAGTTTAGTCATTCATAAAGTAGTTTAACTTTAATTATTGACTTGCATATTATTGTGTTTAAGGCCTTAAAATCTTGGTGATTTTTGAAGAGAGCATCTAGTAAATTCAGATGACTTTGATAAACTTTTTTACACTAATGTAAAATGGACTCAAAATGTCTGTACAATGAACTGTACTTATCAACTGGAT